CGGCGAGCGCGCGACGAAGAGAGAATCGCGCGACGAAGATGCAGTGTCTGCAACTAAACGTGAGAGGAAGAAGGAGGAACAAGAGGAGGGGGAAGAAGCGAGCGAAACGTTCGAGCCTTCCACGTCTCTGCATAAATCAGATCGGTCGCACGAACCGATAACCTCCACCCCGCGTGCCAAAATTGTACCGATAATAGAGACGTTGGAGAACGTTTTCGAAACGACGGAAGACTCTCTAGCAACGAAGGTTCAAAATCAGCTGCAAACATCGGAAGGTCGAGAGGCGTTACGAGCCAGCTTGGGCCCGCTGGGTCAAAAGTACGTCGAGGCTGTCCTGAGGGGAGCGCAAGAATAAAGAGAGCGGTATAGATCATGTGTACGGCGTTTATCTACACAAGGATGGACTGATGTTTGGCAATAAACGTGTCGACGTTGATGACGTGGACAACATAATTATCGATGGCGTACGATACGTCGGTACAGCCGGTCTTTACGAGTTGATTTTCAAGAGAATTCCCGATGATGCCCTCTACACGGAAGACGATATGCATAAGTACAAGAGCATGCTGTTGGTGACAAACGCGCACAAGCACAAGCATCATTCGCAGGGCCGAGTATTGAGCAACAGGGGATACAAGTACAAACACGTAATTGCGCCGTTGGTGTTTGTCACACCCAAAAAACAGAAGAAGAAATCTGGAAAGGGATTACCTCGCGCAATGACACAGAACGGCAACGCGATCTATTACGTGCACTGGGACGATCCCAACGAGCTGATGGATCGTCTACGATTGCTGGACGCTTCGCACCGAGCAGGGAACAACGCTCACGACAACGAGATGCTGTCGATCATCGAGGAATCCCGCGAAGCCGGTCTTATTATAAATTAAATCGCGTATCAATGAAACGTGTCAGTTGAGTGACAACAGCGAGAAAAAATACGTTATTTTTTGTACCCTGTGTATTACGCGTCGAATCATGAAAAAGAGATCCGATGAAAAAGGAAATTTAGCTCCGAGAGACGTCGACTCGTCGAAGAATTGCACGCTCCGGCGAGAAGAAATTTTCTGCGAAGACGCGTCATAGTCCGAGGATATGATGATCTGTGGCAGGCTGACATCGTTGAGATGCATCCATACTCACGTTTCAACAGAGGTTATCACTACATGCTCACCGTCATCGATGTGTTGAGCAATTACGCGTGGGCCGTACCGCTCAAGAGTAAAGGTGGAAGCGAGACGGCTGAAGCTATCGCTGAGATAATTTGAAAGAGCAAAAGATATCCAAAATATCTACAGACCGATATGAGAAAAGAATTTTACAACGTTGATGTGCAACGGCTCTTGAAAAAACACAACATCAATCATTATTCAACGTACTTCGTAATGAAGGCATCAGTCGTCGAGCGATTCAATCGCACATTAAAAAACGATATGTGGAAGATGTTTACACTTAACGGAAACTATAAGTGGATCGATGCGCTGTCGCAACTTGTATCAGATTATAACACGCGCAAGCATCGAACGATCCATATGCGACCCGTCGACGTTACTCCCGCGATCGCTGAAAAACTCTTGACCACAGTATACAGCAACGTAAAAATCGCGGGTCCAGCGAAATTTAAAATAGGTGATTCGGTACGTGTGAGCAAATATAAAACCGTCTTCGAGAAGGGTTATACACCAAATTGGACCACCGAGATGTTTAAAATCGCTAAAGTGCAGCATACTGATCCCGTAACCTATCTACTGGACGACTATCGCGGAAAATCTATCTCTGGAGCGTTCTATGAACATGAGTTACATCGCGCGGCTTATCCGGACGTGTATCTCGTGGAGAAAGTATTGCGCAGGAGAGGTGACGAGGTTTACGTAAAATGGTTGGGATTCGATGCATCGCACAATTCTTGGATACACAAGGATAATATAATTTAATTCATATAAACTGTATTTTCATAAAAATGTATTTATTTTAAACATAAAAATATATAAAAAAAGTATATGAAATACATAAGATGTATAAAATGTTTATTATTTATACCCATCTTTTT